AGCCACGGCCCGGTGGGACGGTGATGGTCCTCCAGCCACAGCCCGTTGGGACGGTGGTGGGTTCACTAGCCACAGCCCGGTGGGACGGGGATGGGTCCCTTAACCACAGCCTGGTGAGACGGTGGTGGGTCCTCCAGCCACACCCAGTGGGACGGTGATGGGTCCCCGCTACAGCCCGGTGGGACGGTGCTGGATTCCCAGCCATAGGCCGTGGGACGGCTATGAACCCCCAGCCGCCGCCCGGTGGAACGCTGATGGGGTCCAGGGGCGTCACATATATTTTGGAGGGCCTGAGCCCCTCCCCCCATGCTTCTCTGAGTCCCCTCAATACATGTGAGCAAGGAGGGAATACTGGGCCAAATAAGCGCAGAACAATCATCCTTACTTTTGCTATGCTAGGTAGTACGCACCTGAACATCTCACGATTAGTATCATGCTAATTTTGTACCAAATTCATATATAAAATAAAAAGCATACCTGGGCCGGAAATCGATCTTAAATCTACGAAATATTAAGGAAACTGTTTTAAAATGCAACATCGAGGGCAACAATTCAAGTCACCGAAATCGGGGAGAAATCGTGTTTTGAGGAGAGATTAGGTCAGCTTTTCGGGTGGCCATCCCAACCGATTTTAGAAAGTGACGCCCCGAATGGGATTCTCCCAGCCGCAGCCCGGTGGGCCAGTGATGGGTGCCCTAGCTGCATCCGGTGGGACGGTAATGGGTGCCCCAGCCGAATCCGCTGGGACGGTGACGGGTCTCCACATGCGCCCATGGAGCTGTGCAGCATGATATGGAATGTGACCGGAGCCTGTAGCACAGCCGAGCTTCCCACGCCTTCGCAATGCTGCGCTTCCCTATCGCTGCATCCTTCGCCGAACGAGAGGACCTCAGTTTTCAGTGCGATATGAAATAAAAGGCCGCATGAATCCAGAACCTCATGGAATATACACACACACACACACACACACACACACACACACACACACACACACACACACCACACACACACACACACGCACACACACACACACACACACACACACACACACACACACACACACACACACACACACACACACACAGCACACATACACACACACACCACACACACCACACAACACACACACACACACATATATATATATATATATATATATATATATATATATATATATATATATATATATATATATATATATATATATATATATCGCACGGCCTCGAGCAAGTGCGACCCACAGAGCCAGTGGTGATGGTGTGCAACGACATGGAACTTTCCACCTCCGCGGGGCGAGGAAGCATCCTGGGCCCATTTACAAGCGGCACTGAGCACGAGTGTCTCAGAGATAGCCCATTGCTTGGCCTGACTGCCGTAAAATGTTCCCTTGTTACTGACGGTCGAGGGTCAACCCTGACCCGCAGTGTTGTTCGGCACGTAACATACTCTGTAGCTATCTTTGACGCAAGGGCGGAGTAAAAGTCATCGGCTAACCTGGGCGGCACAACGTGGATGTTGCGCTCAGGGTACACACGATCAGCTTCCCTTCGCCAGCATGTAATCTGAACCCAGGGCCACCCACGGAGAAGACCGAAGCGGAGCATATGCTGGCCGATCCATCCTTTTCCCACAGAATCTGGAGCGACCGTGCAACTTGATTTCAGGCAACCCATTCAGAGTGAAAACAAAAGATGCTGCGGACAAAAACGCCTGTCCTGTCAGAATCATGATATACCCATTGCGATGCATATCAATCGTTCCTCCGCTAAGAATACGCTAATGCAGTTGCAACAGACGCGCAGTGGTGTCATGTCTACGCTTACGCATTATTGCTGGGAAGAAAGCGACGAGTGACACCGCTGGCAAAAAAGTTCGTATCCGGAGGGCATTTAGAAACAAGCAGAGGTCTTATTCCCCCCAGCGGCCACGTTCAGTGACGAAATAAGCACACACTTCTCACTCAAATGCTCCAGAACGTATGCACGCACGGTGTGCGGTGAACAATCGCTCGACACCTGAAACGAAGGAGCCGACACCGCACAGGAGTATATGCTGGACGATATGTCCCTTTCCCACTGGAACTGGAGCGACCGTTCCGCTTGGATTCAATGTGAGGCATGCTTAGTTCAATTTTTGTCGTTTTACCACGGCTTAAAATTGCGATGTCACGGCTTACGTCTGGCCATGACATAAGTGTTATGCGACCGACCTAATCGAATCCATTTTACAACACACGGCGCTCAGCAGCCAGCTTAGTTGAAATTCTCCTGCATCACTTCCCGACAAGAGCATTCAGCGCCAAATGCGGCCCCACGCGGGCTTAGCGCTCCAAACTGTTTTAAGCTTTCTTTGAACCGCTTTTCCGCCTGTTAGACGCTTGAGCACCCACGGCCGGAGCATCGTCCAGTAGCCGCAGTGGCCGCGCCTGTCGGTTCGACTATGGGCAGCTACCGGCTGCCGCCGCCGGTCTGCCGGAAACGCTGACTGCGCCAACCCATAGGCTGTGTGTGTTGTGGTTTCAGAGTTCATGGAAATGATGACAGGCTAGGTGACGTCCTGCCAGCACCAGACTCCGGTACGTTCTGGATGTGGCAGCGAACGCATGAGTGTGGTGGCCCGGAATGTCCTGACACCGTGTGTGCAGATGGAGGAGGGGATAGGCGGAGCGCTGGACGACATATGTGGCGTCACGCTCATCCGTCACACACGAGTTTCCCATGCAATTGCGTTAATTTACGCTCAAAGTTGAGCAGTCTGACCGAGAAGCATGGGTTACCAGAGCTCAGAGCATTGCAGCCTCCCAAACGCTGCAAAAGAACATGGTGCTCAAAACAGATCACTGTATCGGACCATCAGGCAAAGAGCTTTCTACTTAGGAACAATGATCCCGTCTGCGCGATCTCGGGGTCACAAGGTTCCGGACGGCGACGGGTCCAGCGCCCAGCGACGTGCCCGTCGCAAGGGTGTCCAGTTCAGCGACGCGACGTGCGACAACGAACAGTTGCGCATAACATACAAAAACGCAAGCTTCCTCCGTCAGCACACATAGTGTCAAAGACATCCTCAGGCGCCCCAGACGGCTCACAGGCCGAGCACGCACGGTTGAATGAGCATGCGTGTGCGTGCATGCAAGAGCAGAGCGGGGGACCTGGCACGCCGCGGTGGGTTTCCGTCAGGTGCGGCCGGTGTGTCGGCCAGGCCTGACCTGCAGGGCGGCACGGCGGGGCACGTCACGACCGCCCGTACTCCCCAGCAGCTTTCCGACTGGCGCGTTGAGCGCTCTCGCCCCATTTCGTTCTCAGTAGATTTTGTCATGGTAATTTCACACGTCGCCAGTAACCATAGCAGCTGTCTGTTGGTCGTTACCGTGTTGAACGTGTTCAAACGTTTCTGTTTCGGTGGTTTGTAACGCGATCGGCGTTGTGTTTTGTTCTGGTCCGTTATGCTTGTCGCTGTCACGGCACAGGTGCATTTCTGTGGTTCTGCCGTTTGGCGTTTTGGACATCACTGACGGGCTACGTTTTGTGAACAGAACTGTGCAACGCTAGTGCTCGCTGCAATGGGGTACATATGTCACTACTGTGAACGTCACTTGCTGACATTAAGTACACACATAAGCGACATATATGTCATTTGCTCGTACAAACTGCACGCATGAAAGACTTGTTCTACCACAAAGTTGTCTGCGCTCAGCATCGCTGCCTGCTCAAAACATCGATGTCACGTGACCAAATAAAATGAGCGTGTGTACGAGAGAGGAGGGGGAAGGGCGCGAACCGCGACCGGACGCCTCTCGTTGCAGAGTTTATGGAGATGATGGCAGGCGAGTGAGGTCACCACGAGGCACCCAGCTGTGGCTGCCGCTCCGTTCTGCACGCCACACCTCCGCCGAAACAAACTGGTCCGCCGCATCGTCCCAGATTAGATAGTTCCGGCATAGGTCACCAAAAGCCAACGACGCTGCCAGCCGAGACGTCAAATGCATCCCTAAAGGCAGCGTTCACATCCCGCGACACTTCCCATGGCTCCACAACCCAGGCGTACCTCCCACCCTTTGCAGTGTACGGAAACTGGAATGGTTGTGCGACCCTATGCGCAACGCGAATGCAAGTACAGCTATATACATTGCTCCCGATGTGTCGACTAGCAGCCTTTGGGCACCGCTGGGCATCCGATGATGGTGCAATTCTTCATGAACGTCGCGCAGCGCTGTGTTGTTACTAAATGTTGAAATATGAACTATGTGCAGGCTTTTCTATCGTGCAAGAGCGTAGCTTCAGCGAACATCCATGACTGAGAAGCATTAGTATGAATACAAATCAAATTGTACGGGCTTTCTTTTACTTAAGTGCTCTTGTGGCACTGACCGACACTAACAACCTATACTAACGGGCCACTGCGCATCGCTCTGGATATTAGACGCGACTGGCCCTCCCGACCTCATGGCCTACTCAAAGCACCCGTCCGACTTCGAGAGGCGTTTCGCTGCAATGGAGGTGCCACTGGCGACTGCCCCGGTGTCGCGCGAGCGGACGCCACCCACTGATGTCGTGGGTCTCCGACCGGCCGAGAGCGTCTTCTGTGGGACTGTCCGCGCGCCTCCGTGCCACGGCCGTCCCGCTCTACCCCAGACAGGCGCGGCCGTTGGATGGATGTCCCCAAGGGACGAGTATATTAGACGGGCCGGCCTCCGCCGCGCACGCACACCACACCCGCGCTGCAGAGCGAGAGAGAGCGCGAGAGCGAGCTGGCCCGGGGCCAGGGTTAGTACCTACCCACCGGCACTGTTCCCACGCTGTTGAGCAACGCGGCCAGGCCCGCACGCGGCGCCGGACGCTGCTGCAGTCCGCGCGGCCGGCGCCACGGGTGCCATCGGCTCGGCTCGGCTCACCGCCGCCGCCCACGCGTCTCGCAGCACCCGCCGGGGTCGGAGGCGCGCCGGGCTCGCTCGGAAGTGCGCCGCCGCGCCGGCTGGCCGGCCCGGGCCGCCGGTGCTCCTGCCCGCGGCACCTCGCCACAGCTCGACCACAGGCGCCCGGCCGCGGCGGCCCGCTCGTCGAGCCCGAGCGACGCAGCCACGCGCACACGTGATCCATATCACATTGATCCCGGTTCGCTCCGAGCGGCCACGGCCGGCTGATGCGGGCCGACGAACCAGCCGCCGCGCGCGGCCGGCCGCTCGCGACACCGGGCCGGCCATCCCGCATAAGACGCACATGAGTTCGGAATACAGGGCACTTCGGCATCCGTGGCGAGGCTTGCTTCGCTCGCATCGAGACAGCCGAGTTACAAACTATCTTTCGCACATCTGGCACATTGGTACTCAAAGCCGCCAAGCTGCGGAGATCCGTCTTGCCTGGACATGACACGCACTCCAGCGAACTTTTACAATTGCACAGTTCACACCGAGACGCACCAGCGCTCACCTGGAGCGCCGTGCGAATAAAAGCTAAAAAATCGCGCTCCAAAAGGTGGATCGAAAGCGACAAAAATCACACAAGGCCCGCTCCGTTCCGGCCGTCTCCCAGCGGGACCGGCCAGCGCAGTACCTCAGTCGCCGCGTCGGAAGTAAATGCCCCGCGATGGAATGTGTTCAGTAGTCGGCAGCACATATCACAGCGCGGCGCGTCGGACCGGTAGGACGTCGGCCGCGAGCCGCACCATCGGCCGGCGCGCGCGCGCCACACCGCCCGCCGGCGCACACGGCGCCCCCGCCGTCTAGGAGGAGGCGTAGTACCACGTCGGCTCGCCGGTGTCCGTGCACTTGTAGTCGACGCTCTGCGAACGAGGCGCCGATGTCAGCGGTGGTCAGGAATCGGCCACTTCGGGCAGGCCGCGCCCCTCACACGTGGTTGGTCACCACGCACAACTGTTGGCGCTCAAAGCCCACTCACGTCACGACGAAATCCAACAACGCCGGGAAACGACTGCCGCGTGAGGTCGAGTGTCGCCCATTTCTTCGAGTAAATCAATCGGCCAACCTAAAAAAGGAAACATTCACGCCTCTTGAGGCACGTCATTTGTCCTGTACCCTTCTGGAGACTTGTTTTATGTGCAGCTCCGCGGTGTCAAACCATGATCGTTTCTGGAACTGCATTACACGTCTAGTTTTGGAAGTTTGGTGGCGAAGAGAGTCACCCGGTGTCTTCAAGACGCAAATCTACAACCCCGTCTGGCGTTGAACCCCACGTAAGACCAGGCGTCCAGTTCTGATGAGCTACACGGTGCCTCGAACGTTCCCGATATCCCCACGGCGCTCGCGATCCTCGCGATGATTCGCAGGACTGCCGAGTTGAAAGTGAAACATTATCAGTTCGCTCCTCTAGCGCCGCCGCTGCTGCTGCCGTCCGCATGCATCCTGCCACGGAGTCGGCTACCAGACCGGCATGTGAGGGGGGGGGGGGGGGACGCAGCGCCGGCTACGCGGGACCACAGCGCGCGAACAAGTGAGCAGCGGCGCCGCACCCGCCGTGGCACGGCAACCTGTGGCCGTGGCAGCCCGCTCCCAGGGGCGGCAGAAAGGTGACCACTGCTGAAGAACGGGTCAGATGCTGCACACGCTCCGCGGCGCGATGTTCAGGGGCTGTCCGCGACGACTCCTACGCGGGGGAGGTGCATGGGTACGTATACACCACTCCGTGTGGTGCAGACGATAACTCACACGAATTACGTTGACTGCATGTCACTCAGGAAGAATGTGGAACTTGTGGTGAAAAATTCAGGGCTTGAACAATCACATTATCATTGCTTGCAGCTACACACAGCTGATGAAACTTGCTGACTCTTGGTTATACAAGCATCCCTGAGCAATGATGGTCAATACAAGTAGATTAGCATTCTCTAGAACTTTGGAGCATCGCCAAAGCCACCTGTTTTACTCTGACCTCTGGCAAGCACATATCGCAGTCCACCCAATATCAGGCTAAATACAACTCCTTCGTTTCATAAGATTTTGAAGGAATCTACCGCCGCGCAGCTGTTGTCCGCCCCCGTGGCAGTACGGCCAGTCGGCCTGGTCACGGCGAGCGTCAGGCGGGAGTGAGCAGCTCCCGCCTCAGCGCTGGCCGCTCCGGGTGCCCGGCCGTTGCGTCCCGCACCCGCCGAGCGCCGCCGGCGGTGGCCAGCCTCACCTGCATGTGGCTGGTGGAGGTGCGGCCCAGCTGGTGCAGCCGCTGCAGGTGGCAGCGGCGGCACAGCAGCGCCTCGTCCAGCGGGTAGCAGCGCTGGTCGGGCTCGTCCGTCAGCTGCAGGCCGCACATCTCGCAGATGTAGCAGTCCACGTGGAAGTCGCGATCCATGCTCACCACGCGCACCGTCTCCTCGGTGCCCTCCACTGGCGTGATGCTCTTGCCGCAAGCGGCGCACTTGGGCGCGAACATCCTGCCGCCACCGCCACCTCCGGTCAGTAGAAGCCCAAAGCACACGGGCGGTCGGTTTCGTATCGACTACATTCAAACGTGAAGCATTCATATTTGTTCGAGGGCTGAAGCCGGAAGCAACTCAAAGGTGCATCCCCAGCAGGCACGGCGGGGCACAGGTCTGAGACAGCGCAACAGGGGCCCCGTGCTACGTGAGGGAGACACGCTTACCTGTGGTAGTCGTTCACGCAGTAGATCTTGTTATCGACATCGATCGTGAAAGGCACGCCGTCGAGACATTCGTTGCAGATGCAGCACCGGAAACACCCAGGATGGTACGACTTGCCCATGGCATGCAGAATCTGGGGATAGACAGCCATCAGCGCCGCGCAGTACAGCTGGAAACTCGGACACCATGCGGCCCCCCCAGTCTGTTGCACTTACGCGTAACCGAGTTGACGGATGCTGCCTAGAAACACTGCTCCGATCTGCTCACGGTAAATATCCGTCCAATCACTGACCAATGCCACGCGAATTACGCCACGAACATAGCATTCGAACGCACTGATGGGAGCTTTGAGCCGTCACCTTGAGCATCCATGGACATCGTCAGTAAAACAAGTTGAGGCAGGCGTAAGCCGGTCTTAAATTGCCAATTACAACACCCCCGAGCTCCGAGCCTCCTCAGCTTAGCTGTTCCATACGTCAGCGCCCATCGCGCGTACCATTTCCATGATGAGGTGTCCGCAGATGGCGCATTTTTCGGCTGTCTGCTGGAACCCGGAGTACTGGCAACAGCACGGCGGCGCTCAGTCAGTGCAGGCGGCCACATTACGCCAAGGCCAACTGTCCGCCTATCCACGCCAAGATGCACGAACGAATATATCCATCACGTCGATCAGTGAACGACAACGTTGCCAATCAGGCGCTTCTGTCCTCTGCACACAAAACTAATCATCTTTGATTATGCTATGACTTTGGCAAACCTTACAACGTCCAAGAGACACGTATACAAACAACGCAATGTTAAAATGCAATACAAAGAGTAGGCTCCAAACTCACCAGTATTCAATGAGCACTCCCGTGCGAACTACCGCACTACGCTTCCGCTTTGAATGTGCATGCTACGTCTGCCCTACATAACACGGAGCGGCTCCCCACGCACGTACCGAACGGGGACACCATATTGACGGCGAGTGTGCTGAGCTCAGCCGACACTTAACGCGTATGTTGAAAGAGACCGCTTTATACGCGCTCGGGTGGGGTCAGATTGACCCCTCGAACGTTTTCCAGAATGGTCTCCGAACGGCGCGGCGTAGCCGCGTCAAACTTTGCACGGCTGTAGACAATTGAATAGCGGATCGTTTGGTATAAAAATACATGCACCTTATACGGTTGCTGACGTACGGCAAGTCAAAGTAAGGCCATGAATTCAGCGAAGTCAATTTCTAGGGAATCGTTCCATTTGATTCAACAAGGAATGTTAGACGAAGCCGTGCATTTCTGAGATACTTTCATAGACTATACAACAATTGAATGAACAAATTCCATTGACCTAGAGTCAGGTATAAAGGTCAGACCAGGGTCAATACCAATCTGTTTTATAACTAGGGTTTGTTGTATGCGATCGTTTCTAGTGTTCATTTCGAATTTATTGATGATAGGAACCACATTATGCATCTTCCATGAACTTCTTTACGGTCAGAATAGGTCGCTGACCTAAAATGACCCAGGTCTACATTTTCTTTTTAGGAACAACTGCCTCGAGTAATCTTCGTCGTTTGTTCAACTGCAAAACTTAAAGCAGTCTTGAGTGATTTTAGTCACCATGACTTCTAAAAGGTCAAACAAGGTCACTAACCTTAAATGACGCGTGGCCTTTTGCTCAGAACACGTATCTAGATTCTGGGGTACTTTAGAGACCAGCCTGGAGTTTGACCTTGTCCGACCTTATTTGACCTGGTCTTGACCTAAGTGAGCCCACTTACAAACTTTGACTTAAGTGAGCCCACGTACAGGCCAACACACCCTGTAAATTTGGTGTCTCTAGCTCTCCTATTTCCAGAGATTTCAGAGAGGTCAAATTGACCCTCCACCCGAGCGAAGGGTATCCAGCCGGCACCCGGCGCTTGTTAATGGCCGCATCCAGCGCACATGGCTGGGGCAACAAACGAACGCGAGCTCACACCGAATATTAGTGCTGGGGCACGCCGTCATCAGGTTCTTCTCAAATCACAGCAAAGGTTTAACCTGCCACTTACCAGGCAGCGCTACTATTTGGCCTGTGTCTGCACCATCACTTTTTATGTCGCTCCCATCGCAGTGGATCCCCTGCACCACCAATCACCAGGCAGTCCCTACAGTTGACCAGCCCCTGCACCACCACCCACCAGGTAGTCCCCACAATGGACCGGCCTCAGCACCACCACCCACCAGGTAGCCCCCATAGTGGACCAGCCTCAGCACCACCACCCACCAGGTAGCCCCCATAGTGGACCAGCCTCAGCACCACCACTCACCAGGTAGCCCCCATAGTGGACCAGCACCTGCACCACCACTCACCAGGTGGCCCCCATAGTGGACCAGCCTCTGCACCGCCACCCACCAGGTAGCCCCCATAGTGGACCAGCCTCAGCACCACTACTCACCAGATAGTCCCCACAACGGACCATCCCCAGCACCACTACTCACCAGATAGTCCTCTTCGCAGTAGACCTTGCCGTGCACGTTGTAGAAGGCGCGGCCGCGCAGCGCCCTGCCGCACGAGCAGCACACGAAGCAGTTGGTGTGGTACAGATTGCCCATGGCCTGGCAGGCCTGGCCGGCGCCCGTCACCTTCTCGCCGCACGTGTAGCACAGCCCTGCGGACACCGGCCGCGCGCACAACCCTCAAACTGCAATCCACACCCGCAGGCACACATGCACACACACACACGCACTCCCTGCCTCACACACGCTGGAAGAAGCGCGGCTTGCCTCCCAGTGTGGGGCGCGGGCACACGCGCCGCTGGTGGACGATGTCATCGCACGATGGAAGTTGGTGCCACCATTGGCGGGACTCCTGCACATTCCGGCAGCCAGGTGAGTGGCCGTCAGTCTTCGCACTGAACGCGTTCAACACAACGCTGGCCGCACGTTGGGCGGAAGGCGGACGTGAATGCACGCTGATTTCGCCGCGCAGCCCCCCAAACGGGAAACGCTGGCTGACCGAGGGCCATGCCATTGGTCGCGACGCAGATGGCCAAACCGTAATGAAGGTCTGCTGCACAAGAGCATGCGCACGGCACGAGCCGACGAACGGCACCGGTGTCGGCCGCGATCAGCGACTCTCACCGAAATACTCGCCCTCCTCTTCCCTGCCCTCCAGCTCCTCTTCCAGTTGGCGCGTCAGCTCGTCCAGCTTCTTCTCCGCCTCCGAGGGGCCCTGCCGACCGTCCAACAGCACTTCATTGCTGCACTGCCGTCATATCGCTGCTCTGCACGTTCGCATGAACATGCACAAGATATCTACACAGATCTGGCGTAGATATCTCACAACTGAGGACTGCCCTGTCCTTATCGAGCACAGTAAACACCATAACAAACCAAACTGGTCATGGTCCGGCCACTAGCGAGGCAATAACCCAGACATGCGGAGACTTTCACTGGCATGGTTTCCTCCCCAGCCGCTCCCATATCTTCCATACCAAGAGCATCGGCCCCACACCCACGCCGGCGGTGAACTCGCGTACACCACTTTTTAATCCCACTACATATGCACATGGGTACAATATATGACGACATCGCGTTTAGTTTTCAAGTCTACGATAACATGACAGGCAGGATGAAACCATTCCGTTTTCGGCAACATCCTTACGGAAGGCATCATAAAAGGGCGAGCCTTACATCTTCGCTTTATGAAACTCGCTGAACAGAACACCGATCTAGTTCCCTGAATTGGTTCCAAACCATGGCACGACATGGTTTGGACGACCCCCGCGGCAGACGTCCAGGGATGCGTGCGAAACACGGTCCGGCTGGAGCACAGCAGTCCACACGACACGCCGGCCGGCTCACCTGAGACTTGGGCGGCGTCACCTGGTAGGGCAGGAGGCCGCCGGCGCCGGCGTCCGAGGGCGGGCCGAGGTTGGCGTAGGTGGGCGGCTCGGGCGGCGGTTGGCGCGGCTGGCGAGGGCGCCGACTCCGGCCGCCGGCAGCCCGGGTACGGCGGCGGAGGCGCCGGCACCGGCACCTGCGGCCCCGGCTGCGCCGGCTCGCGCCCGTACATCTGGCGACGGGCACCGGCGAGGTCACCGGGCAGCCCGGCGGGGCGAGGGGGTCAGCCGGAGGCGCCGCAACACGGGCATCGCACCGACACGGCACTGAATGGAACATAAAACGTCGGACGGCAAGGGTGGAAGAAGACCAGCGGGGGCCAGCGGACAGCCGTACAAAAATGAAGGTGACGTTGCACGAGCGCGGAAAAATCTTATCAATTATCACAACAAGCGTATTGCAACAAAAATGACTACAATCACGAACAGCAGACGCATACACTTGCAGCCGCATTACCTTTAAGGGGGAAAAAAGACACTAATGAAATACGAGCCCGCAGCCTCTGCCAGCCGCCGTATCCGCACCACACCGAACGCCGCCCCTCGACCGTGAGAACGCCCCGAGCTTGACCTCTCCCGCATCACCGCCAGACCGTCACGAGACATACCTTGCCGGGAGAACCGCCGACGTTCTCGTACAGCGGCGGCCGCTGCTGCAGCAGCTGCAGGTAGCGGTCGGCGGCGGCCACGGCGCTCGTGTCGCGACCGGCGGCAGAGTAGGCCAGGTAGGGGTCGGCCAGCACGGCGGCCGGCGCCGCGCCCGCCGGGAACCGCTCGGAGCCGGCGGCCGGCCGCGTTCGCGGCTGGTAGCCGTCCTCGGCGGCCGGCGTCAGCCGCGCCACCGGCTGGTACAGCTCACCCACGGGCGTCGTCCGCGCCGCGGCCGCCGTCTGGTACGGCTCGGGCACCGGCGCGGGCCGCAAGTGCGGCCGCGCGCGAGCGACGACGTCTGGTACTGCTGGAGAGGGGGCGCGGCCCGCGACGCCGGCGTCACCGCGTAAGGGTCGGGCAGGACGGCCGCCAGCGGCGAGACGGCCGAGTGGGTTGGGACGGCGGCCGGCGAGCCGCGCGCCGCCGCCAGACCGGCCGAGTACGCGTCCAGCGCTGACGCGCCGCGGCCGGCCTGGTACAGGTCGGAGGAGGCGGCGGCGGCGCGCGAGACGGCGGCCGCGCCGTACGGGTCGGCGCGGCCGAGTGCCGCCGACACGATCGGCTGCGCCGCCGTCGACACGGTGCCGTACAGGTCACCGCGCGGGTACGACTCCTGCGAGCTGAGGCTGGAGCGGCGCGAGCCGTCCGGCGGCGGCGGCGCCGGCCGCGCGCGGCCCGCCACGTTCTCGTAGATGGCGCCTTCGTGACTGCCGCCGCTGACGGAGCTGCGCGGACTGGACTGGATGGAGGCGGCCGGCGGCAAGCCGTGGATGTACGGCGGCGGCGGCTCGTAGGGAGCGCGGCCGGCGTACAGCCCGCCACCGGCCGCCGCCGCCGCCGCCGCCTGCTTCTGCTTCATGTGCGCGCTGTAGTTGGGCGGAGGCGGCGGCGTGGCCGCGCCGTTCGAGTACGTGTCCAGCTGTTTGGGCGTGGCCGTAGCGTGACGCGGCGATCACACTCTGGCGGCTGACGGTGAAGACGGGCGTGCCGGTCGGCGCGGTGGCGGCGCTGGAGGCCGCCACCGCGCCGCCGCCGTCTGCCCCCTTCTGACCGGTGTCCAGGGTGCCAGTGCGCGAGCTGGAGAGGCTTGTAGTTGAGCGGGCCGGCGCCGGGCCGCGCCGCACCGCCGCCAACGCCCCGCCGCGCCGTTGGCCGTCGGCGATCCGGCGGCGCCGCCGCGGCCGGCCGCCGGCTGCTGGCCGCCCGCCTTCAGCCGGGCCATCTCCTGCATTAGCTTTATTGTGGTGCGGTCCATGGCTGATACAGTACCAGCAGGCAAGAGTGGCTCAAGACCCTCTTACACTCCTGAAAAAGGGAAAACAAGGTTGACAGCAGGTGTTATAAGAGCACACACATACACGAACAACACGCCTTTCACGGCGGGGAGCGAGCAGTGATCAGAGTTATCAAGGTTACAGGCAACGTAATTGTAAAAATCACATAGACAATGTATTAACATCATCAAAGGGAGCCTGCCACATTGTGGAACCTGTGTGGGTAGTATACATCAATGCACTTGAATGTCCTCATTTCATTAAGTCAGTGGACTGAGGTACACTAATGCTCAGCATCTGCGCATACCTTTACAACCATCACAGCTGGCATGTTGGCTAGCTTTGAGCTTGCCAAAGCCTGACAACTTAAATCAATGAGGTGAAGAAATTTAGAGCAGCTTCCTGTCATTGACTGAGTCTTAAGGATTGGATGAATACTGGCCACAGTAAGCAGAGCTACATGGATATGTTGGCTCAGTCTGTCAGTGTGGGCAAATAGTCAGTGTGGGCAGCAAATAACTGCATATAATATGAGACCTGCTTAAGAAAAGGTGTCATTGGCTGTCCCTTCAGCCTACCACTGATGCACCCAAGGGCAAAAAAGCAAAAACAAAAAGCACATGTTGTGGTTAGTTGATACTACCACTCACATGGCCTGCACAACCACTGTAATCAGGTAAAAGGGATGGTCACGCAAGTTGTGTGTCAAAAGACCAGTACCAGCTTTGACAATCAAATCAAGCATTGTTCTAAATGGGTACTCTGTATATGGTGGTACATTCTATACAGCAATGAGCCCATTACTGATATATGTACCCAGTTTAGATAAAGTAATCAGCATTTGTTCAAATGTTCAAAACATTAACATTCAAACACCAGAGGCCTGTACACCTCCACATGTATTTTTCATCCCCACTCCCATCCACAGTGGTGCATCCCATGCAGCTCTGTTGCCCTCGGTCTGTAACTAAACAGGTTGGGTGGAATGCTCAAAAGATAAGTGTGCATCCTAGACCCCAAGGTATCATAGCTTGGATCTGAAAGTAAGATTGGCTATATATTTGTCTTTAAAGCATGACAGCCAAAAACAAAATTTTGCTGGAGAAGACAAGAGAAAGGTACCACAACTTTGTAATTGATTCCTTTTGTTATGGGTATGACAGATGTGCTATTACCATGGGTCATAACTGAGAAAGGTATGTCAATGTGGCAGTGCCACTTCTACTTGCCAGCTATTTTGGTCCACACCATGATGGCTGAGGACATTATGACTGAAGGCAAAAAGCAAAAATGTGCACATTTACAACATGTGGTTAGTGGTAGAGTTGTGGAGTACCTAACTGAACAAGCCTATTCAATCAATTCACATTCCTTGCATAGATTTCAGGCAAAGAGGATATTGTTCTAAATGGGTACTCTGTATATGGTGGTACATTCTATACAGCAATGAGCCCATGAGCTTGCTTGTTCAGCATTATTCATGAAATGCATCTTATATTAGCACTCTCCCTTAAACATAGCACATCTTATCATAAATCAGCTCACTGTTTTTGACTGACACTGTTATGCAAAGTTTTGCTTTTAGTTCTCTGCATGTTAAAGCATTATGTTTAACTTAGATCAGGTATATAATAATATAGTAACATTTCACTTGAGCCCAAGAATCTATGCATTCCTGACAGTTCCTGAGATGGCAAGGTAAGCAATTCATATAGACTGCTGATATATAGCAAATAGTAGATAGTAAGATAGCAAGATATTCAAACACATACAAGACCACCAAGTGATGAGTCTGGTAACAAAAGATAATGCAATTCCAAATTAGCTAGTCAATGCCAAAATCATAGGCACAAATGCTTCCCTTAGAACTGAGAATCAAAGCTGTTATTATGCTGCAGCATATATGCAAAATAGGTGAATATGAGAGCTGGTGGTGGGGAGGAAATGCTATGTCAAACCTGCAAAAAATGTGTTATGCTGAACATGTTCATTGCAGCAGCTACACCCCCAGCACCAGTCTCAGCAGAGCAAGTATGCATATCAATTTCTCTCAACTTTATCAGCAAATCCAGCATGTACACTGCCAATCCTTGCTATCGGTTCTGCGCATGACACTACCATTTTCACTACATAGGGCCAGTATTTTGAAAAGCTATGCTGTGAAGGTGGATACAGGCAAAGAAAACTGTTCAGCACAATGTGGCCTGAGCTCAGTTCAGCACCCAAGCATACAGTTCAGCACACTGAAATTGCATAGAAATCCAGCAGAATGGATTAATTTTTGCGGAGTGATTTTATGAACAATTTCATGACACAATTTAATAAAAACCCTTTGATGATGCATGGGAAGAATCTTCTTGAAAAACATTTAACCACTGACCATAACACCTCAACACAACTTGCCACACCTATATTTACAATGCACAATCAGGCATCATAAAAAACGAAAGGCTTTCAAATGTTTCGACGGGGCCACCAGCATAGACGGGACAAAGACCACAGTGGTCCAACTACATTCATCTTGTGCACGCCACTGCCTATCGGGGGTCAACCGGCATCATTCATCACTTAAAACATCCAGTAAACACTGTGTTTCACATACACTCTCACGCACTTGCCGCAACGATCCCTCCCAATTCTCCGCAGATCGCGCATCGAAGCGCCGAAAAGCGCGGTGTACGGGCGGGCGTCGGGCAAACCCGTAGCAAAACAAACACTAATGTCACCAATTGCGGCGCGTCACCGACGCTCCTATGTAGAGGTGGTTGAATAGGAGGTGGGTAAAATTCTCATAAAAGAACTTCAAAGGAAATAAATCAGCAGTGGATTTGGTTGGCTGGTATCGCAAGTCGCGTGAGGACACACGTTCCACAAAAGTTAGCCAACAAAAATGTCATCAAGAGATTGCTCATTTCGCATGCTCTTGCGTTTGACACAACGCTAGCAAATGCTAGTGCAGTACGCGGTTTTGCACTACGTTCATGTTTTGCACCAGACAGCCACTATGAATGTGACCGCATACTCAATATCACTATGGCCCAGCCCGTCTCGATGCCTTTCCTACAGCAAAATCAAGGAAATGATCCAGTCTGTCCCAAGAGTTGCCGTGGTTTGTTGCCATTAACCGTGATAGCGGTTACATCCGCGGCGATGACTCATGCACTTATTCGTGACGTAGCGGCTCGGCATAGGTATTTGACACCCATGGCTTTGGTCACGAGGGGGTGAAGTGTGGAAACGGCGGGAAGCCTACTTTCCGACCTCAGTGTAAAACCTGCTGCAACTTTTCCCATGCAGCATCATTTTTTCAGCTCCGAACGCCTTTGCCACCCCCACTAAACTTACACTTTTCTTCCACTGGCCTGAAACGTTGGAGAAGCCACTGATCATACCGCACGCGATTTTCCCTTGTCATAGTGTCGCGGACAAAACCACGCTTCGAAGAAGTGCTTATGACAATAGGTCGCACAATGCAGTTCGTACGCCTAACTTCGCCCGTCGGTTGAAGTATACCATAAGGAATAAAAGATCGTGATGTAAAAAAGCTCTTGATGAAAAAGCTCACACAGACAAAAGTTCTTGTGATAAATTGTTCACCAGCGAAAGTTCGTTCCGAAATATACGTGCGCGTAAATTTCGTACCGCTAAGGTCAGTACGCATTTGTTTCTGCGTAAGCGTTCGTCAGGGCTACAGTTGGTATGACAAAAGTTCGTAAGCCAAAGTTCGTATGCCGTTGTATCAAGTAAAGAAACAACGTTCGTATTTAAGTGCTCCTCAAGGATGAAGTTTGTTTGACAAAGTACGTGCACAAAATATCCCATGCAGGTTGTAATATAAGTTCGAATGCAGATTCATCCTTGGTGCTAGGCGTCTGATTAATGATCACTACGGCATATACATGTGGTTGAATTCCACGGATGGGTCTTGTATCCCATATGGCTCCAGGCTAATAGGATCCGGGGATCTTTTGGGGTTTCCAGCAATATGCCTGCTTCGGAAGCTACTGCACATCCGGTTGACTGAGGCAGAGGGGATGGGGAGGGATGATAATGGATGGCGGTGAACAGCGGCGAAATTGAATAGGTCAGCCAAATATTTTGACTAATGTGACTCGTCATGTCATGAACTAAGGCATCCTCCCACAGCCAACAAATAAACTCGAATAACTGTTAACGGTGCAAAATCTTCCTGGCATAAAATAACCCAGAGGCCAAAAAAGTTCGTCTGTCGCAGATCAACCACAGCGTCTGATGTGTTGTTCCTCGATTTCTCACCCCGACACCGCATCTGTAAATGCCGCCCCGACGTCTCCTGGGCGCGTCACTGACGCCAGCTGACGGCCGCGGCGGAACTCAGTTCGCCTCGCTTGTATGCAGCGAGCTGACGTGCGAGGGACACGCGATACACAGTGACCTTCGTAATATAAAAGTCTCGAGAGAAAGATGTACCCACTTTGATGATACACTTTTACAAGGGCCTTGTTTGCATGAGGCCCACATTGGCTGAGGTAGTGACTGTTGGATGATATGCTGAAAAGAGTCAGAATTTACACAGTCGAATTCTATACCTCGGATTATTCGGCACCTTTCCGGAAGTAGGTCCGGAGGTGAACCTGGCAATAGAGATACTAGCAGGGAAAATTCATGGATCAACGCGCATAAGGAGCCGCTGACGACACTACTTTACTTCTAGATGGCTCCGAAAGATCGTTGAAAGGAGCAGCAGATGAACTCTTAGAATTCTCCGTTTCATCTGGCTAAATCACGCACGTCAATCGGTCCACTAACCTCAGCATGGGCGTTCCCAACACATAACAGCTTAAGTTGGTGAAAAAGAACCCTTGGCGTGAACTTCAGCATTCATATGGACAGAAATACGGAAAAAATGGAAAAACTACCGCGGTAAAATTCTTACCAAAACATAAAATGGTTCATTTGT